TCAGTATTTACACATTTCCGAGAAGTTATGGCTGTCACAACTATACATGAACAAATAAATGCAGACACTGCCCCAGCATATTTCTCTAAGAAAATGAAACAGTTTTACTTATTTTAAAGTATATTACAGGTATACCACACAATCCTACCGAGCAGGCAGTTATAGAAAGATCAAATCAAACTCCAAAGGATCTGTTAAATAAACAGAAAGGGATGATAAAGACCCCCCAGAAATAAGTTGCATAATGCTATATTAACTTTGAATTTTCCAAATGCTAATGAGAAAGGAACAGCTTCAGAGAGACATTGGATAGTTTTTTTTTTAAAAAAAGAGAGCAACAAAATTTAATCAGCCAATATACTTTAAAGATGTACTGACCTCAGAATGGAAACCAGAACATGTGTTATGCTGGGTAAGGCATTTTGCTTTTGTTTCCACAGGAAAGCAAAAACTATGGATATGATCAAAATTGATAAAGATTTGATTGGAAAAAGTAACATCTCTTAATTAAAAGACATGATTATTCATTAAGCACTATGGCTATTTAATCTAAACTAACCTATAAAACTAAAAAATGCTTTTCATTTGATCAGACAGAACTTGCCAAAAGAGACTCTCCTCTTAAATTTATGGTTATGGAAGAGTTTTGTTTTTGTCTTTTCATAATAATAAATGTATCCAGTCAAGTAACTTGAAGACCACTGTACAAATGAGGCATCTGAAGAAAATAGACTAATCATCCAGAAAAAATTATTTCAAAAAAATTAAATTGGCTTATTGGTGTATCACATTTCAAACACCATAAAATGTCATGAATCTTCCCAAATATTTGTTTCTGCTGTTCTTTATAGACATATAACAGAAATGGTCTTTTTGTATCCCCAGTCTAATTAAAGATTAAAGCTGGCTTTGAAGTTGGAGTGTAGCCCTTTTCTTCTCTGAACCCATGCATGCCAATGGAAGTTTCTGTCCCACCTTATCCCACAGCCGTTCAGGTCCAATGAAACACACAGAACCTTATATTAATTATAAACTGTCCTATTAGCTCAGGGTAATTATTAACTCACTCTTACAACTTAAATTAACCCATAGTTCTTGTCTATGTTTTGCCATATGGCTTGTTACCTTTTCACAATGTAGCATTTTTTTCTTACTTCCTTTGAGTCTGACTAGTGACTGCATCTTTGCCTTTCCTCTTCATCGAATTCACTTAGTCTGGTTTTCCTACCTATACTCCTTACCTGGCTAACGGCCAATCAGCGTTTTATTAAACCAATATAAGTGACAAATCTTTACAGTGTACAAGAACATTACCCCACAGCACAAGCATGCTTATTAAAGTAAAATCCAAAATCTCTGTCTCATGTCAGAAGAGACACCTGATATGGGACAGAAGATAAAAAAATATTTAAGGACTACTTTATTGTCACTACTCTCATACTTCTTTGGTTTATCTTGATTCTTTAACAGCTTTTCTTAAGGTGTAAATTTTATAAAATTAATGTATATATATATTATACTTTTTGTCAGGATATTAATGGTCATATAGAGTACTAACTACTCTAGAAAAGGGTTTCATCTACCTTCTTGTACATGATTTCTGGTTTGAGTCTCTATCAGTTTTCTGCAGTGAACCATAAGCTTGCCTAATAGTGACCTTTGAAGTCTCCATTAGGAGGATGGGACTCCACAACAATGATTCCTCCAGAACTGTGATAATACAACTAAGCTGAAAAACATCACTTAAAGATCGGTTTTGAACTACAAACGGCTCAGAACACTTTTGAAATGGCTAGCTGAGATGATTGATATTTTAGCCAGGACTTGAGACAAGCCCTGCATTTTCCCATTACATAGATATTAGACAACAAATGATACAACTACCTCTCACAAGACTTGAAAATTAACAAAAAAAAATCTTTTTAGGATCCCCTAAAGATGTCATTGCCCCCAAACAGCAGGAAGTAAATTTAATAATATGATTCCTACATTCCCAAGAGATGGGGTGGGTGGTTTTTGGCCATTCAATGAATTATGTCATTGTTTAGGAGGTTAGTTACAATTTGTTATTTGTTATGGCTAGGAGGAAAGTTGAACAAGGAGATTAGATTCAGAGTTCTTGTTTTGAAAAGAAAAAAAGGAGATACAGATATGCTAGAATTAAAGGGTAGAATCTACTTTGAAATGAAAAAAAGGAGGATATAGATATGATAAGATAAAAAGGTAGGTTATTGAGTCTAATTTTAGAGAGCAACTGCTAGTTTCAAATATTTTACATTGGATTGGACTTTTGTATATTGTATACAAATTTTGTATATTGATACAAATTTGAGATTAATTTTGTTAAAACATACTGTACTTACATTTCTAAACTTGTTCAAGATATTGTACCTATACAGCTCACTTAACAATGCAATACAAATTTCTAGTCCTTGAAAATTATTATTACTAGCTGTTTAGGATAAGAAAATGCAGGTTACTAGCTAATCGTCTATTAAAATCAAACTTGTAGTTACATTAGATATGTATTCAAGTTCAAAGATATATTTTAAGTAGGTTGTCTACAAACACTTCAGAGATCTACAGAATATGGTATTTAAGATGTTTTAATAACATAGAGCTAACTAGAAATATGCCTGAGTAATCAGCCAAGCAGCCAAGCAACTGTATTAATTGTAATTAATACAGTTTCTGTGTGATAATTCAGGTCTGGGTGGCCAAAAATGAAATAGCAGTCTTCTTTTACACTTGGGTCTCTGAGTGAGTTGATGACTAGGTAGTTATAGTTTTCCTTGTTTACCAGACTCAGAAAGCAAGTTATGATAGAAAGTAAATTAGGTGCAAACTTTGGACTCACAAAGAAAGGGTAGATATGAAGTATTTTCTCTGAATTTGTCAAATGCAAATGGACTGGACATTGCTGCTATATTTGTTGCTTGTATATATTGTATACATTTATTGTACTCATTGTATATAGTTTTTCTTATATTAGTCATAGCCTTCTTTTTAATTTTAGACAAATGGGAAACTAGAGTGGTATATTATTTGTGTTTTAATAAATAAAGCTTGCCTGAAGATCACTGCAAAGCAGCCACACTAGTCAGCCATACAAGCCAGGCAGTGGTGGCACACACCTTTAATACCAGAAGCCACAATAGTTAGAAATAGAGGCTAGGTGGTGATTTTGCATTCCTTTAATCCCAGCACTAGAGAGGAATTTAAGATGGGAGGAGACAGGTATCAGCTGAGTCTCAGTCTGAGGATTTTTAGAAGCAGGATCACCCATTTTCTGTCTGAGGTAGAGGTAAAAAACCTATGACTGGCTGTTTTACTTTTCTGAACTTCTGGTTAAACCCTAATATCTGTCTCTGGGTTTTTATTATTCATGCTACATTTAATTCTGCATTATGTCCTGCAGAATGATCTATGTCATGCAAATAGCAGGATTTCCATTGTTGTCTGCCTTTCTATCTGTCTGTCTGTCTATCTGCCTATCATCTATCCATACATCTATCATTTTTAAGACATTGTCTCATTATGTAGTACAAGCTAACCTAGTTGTCCTTATGTAAACTCTGTTGTCTTCAAACTCAAAATTCTTTTGTCTCAGCTTCCAGAGTGCCAGGATTACATACCTGTGTCTTAGGTAGTTAGCGCTGATGAAAAAGATAAGTGACAGTTGGAAGCAATGAGGACTTAGCTAACTGTGCTGTCTAGTTTTATGTCAACTTGACATAAGCTAGAGTCATAAGAGAGGAGGGAGCCTCAATTGAGAAAATGTCTCCTTAACAGCTATAGGCAAGCCTCTGGGGCATTTTCTTAATTAATGATTAATGGTAAACAGTACAGCCCATTGTTCTTTTTTGCTCAGGATAGCTTTGACTATCTGGGATTTTTTCTGGTTCCATATGAATTTTAGGATTCTATTTTTATTTCTGTAAAGAATGTTGGGGGGTTTGGGTTTGAATTGTATTGAATCTATAACCTGCTTATGGTAGAATGGTCATTTTCACAATATTGAGTCTACCAATACATGAACATGGGAGGGTCTTTCCATTTGCTAGTATCTTCTGCAATTTCTTTCTTCAGAGATTTAAAGTTTTCATTTTATGTATTTTAACCCATCAGAAGTTGATTTCTTAATGATAAGAATTTCCTGTTCCCAGATGATTTTTTCCATTGTCATTTGTAGAGAAGTCAATCTTTCTTGTGCTTTTATAAAATGACACATTTTTCATATACCATATTTCCATATATTTATGGGTCTAGTTGGGAATGCCACTCAGTTTTCTTGATCTATTCTGTACTATTATATGTAAAAGTGCAATTTTATAATGTGCTTTTATGGCTGATATTTCATACTCTCTTTTGCAAACTTGTCACTTTATTATTTTTCAAAATGAGTTTTAGAATTACTTTTTTTAAATATATGAAACTCTCTAAGATATAGATTGGTACATGAAATTTGTGCATTAATTTCTAAGTGAATTTATCTCTTCTGGTTTTGAAATTGCCTATATGTGAACATGGTATTTCTATATGTTGGCTTCCTTCAAGTCTTCTAGAATAGCTTAATAGATTTCTTCATATTACTTTTCTACATTTCATTTCTAGACATAGACTTTCTATTGCTTTTGTAAATTTTACTTCCACTAAATAGGTAAACTGGTGTATAGGAAAGTCATTTACTTTCTGTTGATTCCGATTTTTTTATTTCTTCGATATAATAGAATTGCTAGAATAGTACAAAATACATCTTGTGCACTCTCTCCTATTTAGATATACATCTAAGCCTTTTGTAGTCTTATGTGCCCTGTATATCAAAATCATACCATTTGTATCATAGAAATTGTATAATATTTTTAATGATTGCCAAGGGACTGCCCTTTGTTACTCTTAATTCTTTGTTACTAAAAAGTCTTTTAGAAAAGAATGTTTTTTACTATTGGTATTTAATTTTCCTAAGTAAATATTTCTGTTAAATCTGATATTTCTCTTAGAGCTGCAATATGCTAATGCTGTAATGCGCTTTGATTATGTCTGGCTTCGAGACCACTGCCGCTCTGCATCGTGCTATAATTCTAAGACTCACCAGCGGAGCCTGGATACTGCCAGTGTGGATTTATGTATCAAGCCAAAGACCATTCGACTGTATGAATCCACACTCTTCTTCACTTGTAAGTATACAGGAGTTTTTTTGGATTTCTTAGGTCTTTTTCTAAAGAATAATAATTTTATGAAAAAAATAATTTGGCTCTTTCCAAAATAGGGTGCAGTTTATTTAGTTAATTTCCCCCCCTTGCTTTGAAGCAGTTTCAATAACCTTTTGATTTTGTTTTGTTTTGTGACAGCTAAAATCATACTTAATTTTCAGACAGGATAATCTCTAACTAAGAAACATTTCAAGGATGACTGCTTTTGTCACTCTTTGTTTTGCCTTTGTTTCATACTTTATTTTTAAGACAGTGTCTTGTAATATAACCCCAACTGTCCATAAATTTACTATATACAGCCTGGCCTCATACTAGTGATTGTACTACTCCAGCTTCCTGATTGCTTGGGTTTCACATATAAGGACTAACATTCTCAGCAGAAAGTAAGGAGATCTTGCTTCCCTTGCTTAGACCAACCCATACTTCCTTGGGAACCCCCTGGACCAGCCTGAATTGCCTCGTTCATACCATTTCCCCTGTTGAAAGCCTTCCTATGCCTTCTGGAAATCATACTTCAGGTGCTACCCACTGCCTTCTGTACTAGGCCTGCCTATAGCTCCCAAGATTTTTCCTCCAGGATCCCAGACGGCATATCCTCTGTAGCAAGAAGGAGACGAGGCTTTCCCTACTTATGCTCACCCATATTGTCCCTCTTGCACTAGAGAAGAACTAGGGCCTACCCTTCTTAGGCCTACCTATATATCCAGGAGCCACACTTAAGACAAGGACCATGGACTCCTACACTGTGCTGACCTATAGCTCCTAAGAATTTTGTTTCAGTGTTGGAGGAGGAGAGAGCTGCTTGTTTGTTCCTGACTGCTTAACACAGAAATAATCACTCAGAAACTATATTATTTAAAACACTGCTTGGCCTGAACTGTTAGTTCTAGCTTCTCATTAGCTAACTCTTACATATTAATTTACCCATTTCTATTAAACTGTATATAGCCATGTGGCTGTGACTTACAGGCAAAAGTTCTGGCATCTGTCTCTGGCGGGGCTACATGGCAATTCCCTGACTCCTACTTCCTTCTCCCAGAATTCTTTTTAGGTTTCCCCACCTATCTCTATTCCCCTATAGCTCTGCTATAGGCCCAAAGCAGTTCTTTATTCATTAATGGTAATCACAGCATAGAGAGGGAAATCCCACATCACCTCCCCTTTTCTTTCTAAATAAAAAAGGTTTTAACTTTAACACAGTAAAATTACATATAACAAAAACAAATATCAAGCAAAAATTAGTTACAATATTTATATCTACTTTATCTTTTATCATAACTAAGGAAAACTATAACTATAAATTTTTCAACTCCATCAAAGAATCTAGAAGGATATAATATTACCTAAGTAAACAAGAAGTGCATTGTAAGCAACTTCTAAAACTCTAGAATTGACAGAGACATTTGACTGCCTGGACAGTCATCCAAGGTTTTTCTGAAACGTTGGAATATCCATCTTCAACCTACAGGCCCATAGTATCTGGCAGACTTTTCCATGAAGTAGGGAATTTCAAAGACAATTCCGCTCATATTGACAGTTTGTTAGTCACTTTCTTCTGTGTCCTGAAGAATGGCAGACTCTTTTATGGAGCAGGAACCCAGAAGGATTGTCTCACTTTTAGGCAAGTTCAGCAGTCATTGCTATGTGGGTCCTACATGTTCAGTTTATGCAACAGTTCAGGCAAGAGCAGTTTCTTGCCCAAGTGGCTAGCAAACTCCATGAGGATCCTCTTTGATGCCCATCATCATTTTGAACTAATTGGTGCTGCCAAGAACAGATATGTCTCTGTCATGACAAGATCAAACTTCTTAAAACATTTTAAATGTTATATTCTGTAGTCTTTGAAAGGTTTAAAGGATACCTATCTATCTGAAATACATTTCTGTACATCTAGAAAATTTAAATAACATGACTACAAACTTGACTATTATAGATGACTATTTGCCTATATTTCTTAATTATACATTATATTTTTAAGTGAGATGCATAAACACAATACTTTAATCAAGAGCAGAAATATATATATATATATATATATATATATATATAACATTAACCTTAAATTTGAATCAATAAACCAAGATCCATACCAATGCAAATCTCTATAGCTTATCCCCCTTTAAATATAAACACTTATAAACAATATTTGGGAATATGGGTGTAGTTTTCTTCAAACTGTTTCCTGTTTATTGGATGAAGTAATTATTTGAGGGGTGTTCATGGTAAACTCTCGGGAGGTTATGTCCCATCAAACTGTATTAATCTGGAAGCAATCCACAGGTTCTCATCCTCTGTGGAAACAGAGTAATATATCCATAGACCCAAACTTTGAAGTCAAGAAACCTTTAAAACATATATGATGGTTTAGCTTAGCAGTCCCCAGAATTAAATGTCTCTCTGCAGTCAAAAAATGCAAAGAAAACACAATAGTATACATAATCCAGACTCTCTGTGAATTTTCTATTTTTATGTGGCTTATTTTTCTTTACTCTTTTTAATCTATGACTGTCTGTACTCTGTCTCTTTAAAGACATTTTTAAATGATTTACTTCTTTTCCAACTCTCTATACTCTTTTCTCTCTCTCCTAAGCCTCCGTACATTTTTTTAAATACACTGAATCTCGTTTAGAGGTCTTTTGTATCTGAATCTGTCTTATTGCATATCTGCACATTCCAATGTAGTGGAAATCCATTCACTGCCTCTGCAAGTCATGTACATTGCCCCAGTTCTAAGTATGCAGCGGGTCTATGTTGAGCCATTAAGCAGTTGTAGCATTCTGCTCACAAACCCCATTTAAATGCTCCATAGCCAGACCTCATCAGAGTTCATATAGGCAGCATGGCCCAGGATGCTGCAGCCGTTTCAAAACAGCACATATTTTTTCCTTCTACCACTGAATCAGGAAAACCTCTCTTAAAGGAGCAATTCCTATGCTTGTTTCTACTAAACAGAGCCCACCCAAGAAAATGCCACTACCAAACCATGTTTAACTCAGTTCTTTTGTGTCTAGGATTCCTTTTTAAGCTTTCTCGGGTTTTATGTGAATTTAATCAGCCAGGGTGGCGCCAATTTGTTGGAGGGGAAAGCTGCTCGTTAGTTCCTGGTGGCTTTGCCCAGAAATACTCACTCAGAAACTATATTATTTAAAACACTGCTTGGCCCATGAGTTCTAGCTTTTTTATTGGCTAATTCTTACATCTTAACCCATTTCCATTAATCTGTGTATGGCCATATGGCTGTGGCTTACCAGCTAAAGTTCCAGCATCTGTCTTCTGTGGGGCTACATGACAATTCCCTGACTCCTTCTTTGTTCTAGAATTCTGTCTATTTTTCCCCACCTACTTCTATCCCTCTATGGCTCTGCTATAGAGCCAAAGCAATTCTTTATTCATTAACAGTAATCACAGCATACAGAGGGAAATCCCACATCAGTTTCAGGAATACAACCAACATAGCCTTCTTCAGAAAGATCTGACTTAGTTTACTTGGGCCTACCTACATCACTCCAGAACTTCTTTTATAAGCCCCACAGAGGAAAATGAGCATCTCAACCTTCTCCTGAACATTGTAAATTTCTCTGCTAAAAGAGGAAAGAATAGTTTTAAAAGAAAAACATAGGGATAACGTGAAAAACATCAACCAACATACTACTTAAGATGTGCAAGTCCCAGAACATGAAAAAAATAACAAGACAGTATGTCTCTTTCATAAAGTGCTAATCACATAATAATAGCACCTAAGTGTAAATGACCTGGAAAAACTTCCAGACAAAGAACTTAAGAGAATAATTGCAACTGTGTTCAAACAACTCAAAGAAATGAATGCACTCCAAAAGAATGAAAACAAAGACATAAATGAAATGCAGAAGTCAACCCAAGATATAAAAATAAAATTTAACAAAAAGAATTGCTGAACAAAAGCCAAACTGAAATGGTGGTAGAAATGAAAAACTCAAAATGTTAAAAAAAAAAAAAACTCAGTGGAAAGACTCACCAACAGAATGAATCATGTAGGAAGCAAAAGAATCAGGGGCAGAAAAAGTAGAAAAATTAGATCACTCAATAAAGGTCTATGAGAAGTTTCACAAAATATATTAGCAAGTCAAAGCTAGAATAGCAGAGAATTTGTTGTGAGATTCTGTCTCCTAGGAATGTCAAACACACTCCTAAAGTCTCACCTCTATATGACTGCTTACACATGAGTTAAACAAGGACAACAACAGTAGACATGCTAATATAGATGAGGAAAAGCCCAGAAGACCTCAACCCTATACAAAGAACTTAAAGCAACAAGGGAATGCTGGAAGTTGGAGGAAGGTAGTCCTCACTAGAGGATGAATACCTCAACTAGTCATCCAACACCAAATGATCAGCCCTGAAATCATACATAAAAGTAACATTATATAGAATATACATGTAATATTTATGTATTTAGGGAAATATACATATAAAAACAGTGAAAAAGAAGCCATAAATATGGGAGGTGGGTCATGTATCAAAGGGTTTGAAGTAAGGAAAGGGAGGGGAGGAAATGATATAATTATAATCAAAAAATAAAAGAAATTTTTAAAAACTATGAGAACAGGCCATGGAGAGATGGATCAGTAGTTAAGAGCAGTTGCTGCTCTTGAAGAGGATGTAATTTGGCCAGTTTCTTTTCATCTGTAACCCCAATTCTGGGGTTAGTCTATGGGCACAAAGCTCACACACAGTGCACTCGCGTACATGCAGGCAAAACACTTAGACACATTAAAAGAATATGTATGTATGTATGTATGTATGTATATATAATATATATAATCATTTATGCCTTGGCATTTTTTTTATTTATTTATTATTATTGTTATTATTTAGTTTTTCTGAGATAGGGTTTCTCTGTAGCTTTGGAGCCTGTCCTGGAAATGACTCTTGTACACCAGGCTGGCTTTGAACTCACAAAGGTCTACCTGCCTCTGCCTCCCGAGTGCTGGGATTAAAGACGTGCACCACCACTGCCTGGCTGCCCCGACAATGCCTAAGCTTGCATGGGCAGCCCTTTTATGGTGGTTCTCTAGTTGTTCCTATCCTAGGTAATCCTAAATGCTTGTGATATTGTCATACCCAAGGTTCTACAGTCTTCCTTTATGCTGTCTATTTAGCATTTTGTTTTGTTTTTTGTTTTTGGTCTTCCTCTTCAACTTATCTTGTACATTCCTCCAAGCAGTGCTATATTTGGGTATCTGCTGTCATTCATTCTGATAACATGGCCCAAGTGTCTCAAGTGCTGTTGTTGTGTCCTGTAGTTTACTTATTTCCATAGATGGAGGTGTTTCTTAAAGTTATTATTGTACATCCTATCTCTTTGTGTGATGTCTAGAATCCTGCTGAGACATGCCATCTCAAACACCTAAAAGTTGTATCAATATACAAAATATCCTAGACCGAAGTAGAAACATGCATATATACAATATGACAAAATAACTTTGCTTATGTGTATAAATGTAAACAAAAGTAGCAGATATAATTTGAACTTGTATCAATATACAAAACTATATCAATGTAAATTATCCATAAATAATAGCTCACAAGTATTCACTCTATTACCCACTATTACTATCCCCCCTTTTTAACAAACATAGTTTTCACCCCAACCCTCTATCTAGTACAATTAATAATCAACAACCCCTAAACATTGTTCCCAACTCTATAGACAAATTTTTCTTTGGGCAGGGGTGGACATCGTCTTCTAGAATTGCTTCCTGCTATCATGGGGCAATGTTCTCTTAAAGGGATCCTGCAAAATTTAAGTGATGGTTAAGTTTCAAAATTACTGTCTAGTATAGTTGCAAACAATTTCCAAGCAGTCGATAGATAGAGTTTTCTTTTTCCAAGTTCTTTTTGGAGTTCTGGCCAGAATGTCATGAGATGGTGTACCATTTCCGCTTCTGGTACCCAAAAAAGCGGTCTTATAGTAGTGCTGTCTGCATTATGATGTCATCTCAACTAAGTAGAGTTGTTGCTGTAGGGCCCCATCTTCTTCCTGGAAACTTCAATGATTACTGCACAGAAAGGATCTGTAGAAAAATCTATGTTCATCATGAAACTTAAACATCATTCATATAAGCATACATTCAATGAAGAATATGATATAGACAAAATAGGCATGGAGAAAGTAAAATTGTTCCTAGTCTTTCTTCTGTCCCATGTCAGATGGCCCCCGATATGAGACAGAAAATTGGAATGTTCCTTTTAACAACACACTTGGATTTAGGAGAGTACAGAGCCATTGTCCAACTCCAAAGCCAGATGAATATAGTAATGTGTGTGTGTCTGTATGTCTCTCTCTCTCTCTCTCTCTGTGTGTGTGTGTGTGTGTGTGTGTGTGTGTGTGTGTGTGTGTGTATGGGGTACTTCCACTCTTTGATGAACTTTGTAAGAGCAGTACTTGCTGAACATGACAAGACCTTTACACACAAAGCTCACAGTTTTTGCGAATTTTGGCACATAATAAAGCCAGTCAAAATTCCCATTTGTTCCTACCGGAGATTTCTCAAGTGGTCTTCCTTGATGAAACTGGATTTTTCTTATCTCAGAATGAATACACAGCCTCTCATTTTCTGTGGAAACAAAAGCAAAATCTCTTCTCCAAAGTAACATACCTTTTGACTTCAATTTTGAAGTCAAGGTATTTTCAAAATACTTATCTTGGATTAGTTCAGCAGCATTGATAAGCAAATATCTTTTAGCAGCTGTTGCTCCTTCCTCAGCATTCAAAAAATTCAAGAGAGCATAATAGCATACAGTATCAAGATTCTCTGTGTATTTTCCATCTTTACATGGCTTTATTTTAAACTCTATTTCTTTTATTTTTAATTTTTGACTTTTTGAGACAGTGTTTCTGTGTATCTTTGTCACAGATATCTGCCTGTCTCTGCCTCCCCAGTGCTGGGATCTGTCTGTCTCTGCCTCCCAGGCATTGGGATTAAAGGTGTGTGTTACCACACCTGGAAGTCACAGAGGTCAATCTACCTCTTCCCCTTGAAGTCACAGAGATCAATCTACCTCTGCCCCCCAGGCGTTGGGATTAAAGGTGTGTAACAAGACACCCTACTACTTTCTTTCTTTCATTTTATTTTTAAAAACTTTAACCCTTTTTTAAGCCTTCATATATTTTTAACGCACTGTAAATTATTTAGAGTTTTTTTTTTCTTTGAGTCTCTCTTTACCGTGTATCTCTCTTTTTTTTACTACATGAGTCTTTAAGGAAAGGATTAAAGTCGTGGCTTTGATGGCTTGATTCGTCTTATTCCTTAGCTTTCCAGCCTCGTGGGAGAGGTACCACGGGAACCATGTTTATTGCCACAACTCTATGGAATTTCAAGGTCCTTGCCAGCAAATAAGCTACAACAGTGTTAAACAACACTTAAAAGCTCCATAGTCAGGACCACCTGCTTGAAAAAGTCAGAGTTTGCCCTGGCAGGACAGTCCATAAAGCCAGCATTTTAAAATGGCACAGCTTTTTTCCTGCTATGGCTGAAAACTGAAAAGCATGCATTCAGTTTTTCATCAATACCGTTTAAGTGTTTTGTGGCAGGACCTCTTAAAGGAGCTGCAAGGTTTTGCAGCTAAAGCTGAGTCAGGAAGCCTCTCTTAGATGAGAGTGTTTGCTTGCCTCTAGCAAGTAGAGCAGACCCAAGAAATTGCTGCTACCAAGAAAACATGCTTTACTCTATTCTTTCCCAAGCTTTCTCAGGCTTTCTGTGGATGGAGTTATCCACGTTGGGTGCCATTTGTAACATGAGGGGGCCTGTTTGTTGGGGTTTATGTCCTGCCCAGTTCCCCACAGCCAGCAAACCCCAAGGAAAATCATACAGAGGACTCCATAAGATAATAAACTGATTGGTTCATTAGCTCAGGCTTCTTATTAGCTCTTATAGCTTATAATAACCCATTATTCGTATCTATGTTAATCATGACTCGGTACCTTTCTCAGTGGGGCAGCTTACATCTTGCCTCTTCGGTGATCTGAGCAGAACTGCGGAGGGAGCTTCCTCCTTCCCAGACTACTCCTGTTGTCATGGCCCCGCCTCTACTTCCTGTCTGGTTGACCCACCTATACTTCTTGCCTGGCCAATCAGCGTTTATTTAAAACATGATTGACAGAATACAGACAATTCTCCCACACCACTAGGAGGAAGCCCATCCCTCCCAGTCCTGTTCAGATCACCGAAGAAGCAATGTGTGACATGCCCTGCTGTGAAAGGTACTGAGCCATGTGGCTAACATAGATAAGAATAATGGGTTAATATAAGTTACAAGAGCTAATAAGTAGCCTGAGGTAATGGACCAATCAGTTTTATAACTTATGGAGACCTCTGTGTGATTTTCTTTGGGGCTTGCTGGCTGTTGGGAACTGGACAGGGCAGAAACTCCAATGAGCAGACCCTTTGTGTTACAAATGACAAAAGAATAAATATTTTAAAGTAGTAAATTGTTGTCAATATTTCAAAATTTTATTTTAATCATTTTTTCCTCCTAAAAAGGGCCAGATGGTCATGTGACTAGATATGATCTGGATTGGCTGGTGAAAAATAGCTATGAAGTGCAGAAACTAAAGGTAATTCAACCTAGAATATTATGGAATGCTAAACTCTACCAGCAAGCCCAAGTTCCATCTGTAGATTTCCAGAGTTTCTTAGAAACAAATGATGAACTGAAGAAGTTTCTGCAGAACCTTCTGCTATATGGAATTGCATTTGTAGAAAATGTCCCTCCCACTCAAGAGCATACAGAGAAGTTGGCAGAAAGGATCAGTTTAATCAGGTAATTTACTTTCTGAAATGCACAATAACTAATTTCTACATGAGCACCAATTAAAAGATGTGAAAAAATATAGCTCATGAAGCATCTGCCTCAAATATACTAGGCCCAGGTTCAGTCTTCAATATTGCCCCCCCAAATAATCTCCTCTCCCTCCCTCCATCTCTCCATACCTTTCTTTCCCCCTGTCCTTCACTCCTTTTTCCATCATGACTTCCTCCCTGTACTGTATTCTGCTCAAATGGGGCCTGAATTTGTACTGTATTTTAAAAATAGAGAGGTTGTAAAAATCAGCCAGTTTTTATCTTCATAGATACCTAACTCTCAATCATAGATTGGTTGTTAATGCTTCATTGGATATATTATATTGCATTTAGCATATTCACAACCTATATTGTATTTTGGTCTGTAGCCCTTTTAATCATGTTTCATTATCTGTTCCCCACTGATAAGCACCTGATTCTAAGATCCAATAAGTGACTTTTCCAGAATCACTGTGACAGTAAGCAATATACCTCTGGTTTACTTATCCTAAATAAAATGTTCTTTTCATTACTAATTTCCATTTCTCATATATATTTATCTTCTGTAGCATTAAATGTGACATAAATTTACTTCATTACAAATAGTATTTGTTTTTTATTTAATAAAATTCATGTCTAACTAGTTCATTGTGTTACTCAGTGTACCAAAGTATGCTGGGTCATGAAGACAATGGTAGTAGAACTTAATAAATAGCATTTTTGAGCCATTTAGTTTGAAACACAATTTCAAAGCTCTCAAATAAAAGAAACTGTTGCTAAGCAAACAACTGAGAAAGTTTGTAAACTTTTATTTCAATAGGAAAAGCATTTACTATTTGCTCTTAGGTCTAAGGAACTCTCAAAGCTAAACAATTAAAGTATCCTTTCCCTAAATCTAGGTGTTGTGACACAGTCCTTTAATCCCAGAACCTGGGAGGTGAATCTCAAGTCAGCATTGTTTACAGAGTGAGATTCAGGATAGCCAGGGCTGCACAGAGAAATCCATCTTGAAAACCCAAACCAAAAAAGTATTTTTTCCTCAGATCTGAACCCCCTGAGAAAATAAATGCAAAATCAAATCTATTATACTGCAGGAGAAATTTAATATAGCAAGTCTCATAATTGTAACAAAAATAACATTTTCTCTTTTTCTTGTTCCTCTGTGTTCAAACAATTAAATGAATGCAAACACCTCTATGACATATGACTAATATGGAAACTCTCTCTTATACTTGATTATTAGATTTTCTAATATGTTAGAAAATGACTATTGTTGAAAAATCTGAATATTAATGAAAGACAGTAATTGTTATATAAGTTAATTAAAATTGTCACTTGCTGTAAGCAGCCACATCATTATTTCTATAAAAGAAAAAAAACCCCAGGGGATAGCCTTGAATAAGGAGGTTATTAAAATAGATAAACAATGGGCTGTGATCCCTGAGCTTTCAGAATGTGCATTTCAGTGATTTTCAGTTCACATTCCCAAAGTATCAATTAGTGACAAAATTTCAAAAACTGGCATTTTTAACTGTCAATTTCACCTATATATAGCAATCTGTAACAACAACTACTATATATATTCAGAGTAAACAATGATTAATAAAATTACAAACATAATTAAATATTACATTAAAATTAAATATTACAAATACCTAATAGTTTTTTCTTGATTTTACTTGTCAGAGAAACCATCTATGGAAGGATGTGGTATTTCACTTCAGATTTTTCCAGAGGTGACACTGCATACACCAAGCTAGCTCTAGATCGGCACACTGACACTACCTACTTTCAAGAGCCCTGTGGGTAAGTATATTAGACTTTTTCAGTGTAGTGTTCTTCAGGTTGATGGTCTTGAATTGTTCCTTAATTGTCTTCCATTCTATTTTAGTGAAGATCATGTCTACTTACTGTGGACTTACATGAGTGTTTCTTTATCTTTCCCTGGAAACATAGTCATTTTAAAATATTCTAGTTTAGTCTTCAGTAAACTTTTATGAATAAAAGTTGTATTTAAAATATAACACATATACATGTGTGTCTATGAAAAGAAAAAGATACTGGCTTATGCTGTAGCGTAGTTTGCTCTGTCCTAGAACTTAAACTCAGAATGTAGCCTAGACTTGAACAATCCTCTTGCCTCAGACTTCCAACCCACTATATGGGACTACAATATTTTCTCAAAGTAATTGCAACTCACCAAAAAAGTTAGGTAACTATAAGTTTTATAAATAACATTTTTGACATGATGGTAGAAATCTTTAATTCCGGAACTCAGGAGGCAGTGGCTGGTGGATCTTACTGTATTCAGAGACAGACTATTGATAGTGGTGCAGAGTTAAGGCTGTGACATCAACTAGACTGTAATCTTCAATGCAGTCTAAACATGTATTATTAGCTTTTTGGTGTCGAACATATAAGTTAAAATCTCCAAACTTTCATATCTTCATCTGTAAAATGAGATTAGAAATACAATCTATCCATTTATGTTGAAAATGGATTAAATTTTGTAGTAAAAGGGAGCGGTGGGCTGCATCCCGCCACCCGGCTCCCTAATAGCTTTATCCGAAATAATTACACGGAAACTGTATTCATTTAAACACTGCCTGGCCCATTATCTGTAGCCTCTTATTTGCTAACTCTTACATATTGATTAACCCATTTCTAGTAATCTGTGTAACACCACGAGGTGGTGGCTTACCGGGAAAGTTCCTAACCTACATCTATTTTGGGCCGGAGCTTCATGGTGACTGCCTCATTGCCTTCTTCCCAGCATTCTGTTCTGTCTATTCTGCCTATCTAAGCTGCTATCCTATCAAAAGTCAAGGCAGTTTCTTTATTAACAAATGAAAGTAACACATAGACAGATGACCCTCCTACATAAAAATTTTGTAATAAATTTAAAGCATTTAACATTATTCTCAACACATACTAAGTATTCAGTAAGGATTAGTTGTCATTACCATTTTAGTTATTGTAATCACCACTATTATCTTCATTATTAAATGCATATCCTTTCTGAAGCCACTTTTGCTCTGAATGTCATCGTTTCTTCAACTGGAGATTTTCCTCTATCTTTAGCCTTTCCATACCTGATGACTTCCTAGCAGTCAGTCTTTATTAATTCTCTACTTTTGTATACTTGTCTAGACTCTATTTTCCTTTTTTCTATATTTTTATAGCTACCCTTTTTTAAAAAATATGTATTTAGTACCTTGTGAAAATTATTATTAGTATGCATTAAGTATAAGGGGGTCTTATGATAGTTCCATACATGCTTATAATGCACTTTAATCATATTTATCCCTTCTATTATTCTTACCTATCTATACTCCCTTCTCCCTTTCTTTTTTATTATCCCTGGTAGTCCCCTTTCAGTTTCATATCTTCTTTCTCCTTATCTACCATATATTCACTAAAACATGTAATACTTTTTTGTGGGATTGACTTACTTTGCATAAAATATTGATATCAAATATATTAATGTATAAGTGTGTAAGTTGCATGTGTGTATGTGTATATGTATGTGTGTGTGTGTGTGTGTGTGAGAGAGAGAGAGAGAGAGAGAGAGAGAGAATTTTAATTCAGTTGCTGTGAATAGTGTGGCAATAAATAAGATCTGCAACTGTCTCTGTGGTACACTGACTTGTTTGCTTTGGGTATATTCTCAGGAGAGCTATAACTAGATTATTACTTTCCTACTATTTAAAATATAATTTTTTCACATAATATATCCTTATTATGGTTTCCCCTTCCCCTACTCATTTCAGTTCTTCCTAACAGTCCTCCCAACCAGTCTACCCTCTTTCTGTTTCTCAATAGAAAACAAACAGGCTTCTAAAGAATAATAATAAAAAAGATAAAACAAAAACTAGCTCATTGGAATAGGAAAAAACAAATAGAAAGAAAAGAGCCCAAGAAAAGACACAAGAAATGGATATATATGCAGAGACCCACTCATTTGCACACTCAGGAATCCCATAAAAATCACTAAACTGGAAGCCATAATATACACGCAAGGGACCTATGGTGCAAAAAGGTAGAGGAAAAACATGATTAAAATAAAGGATAAAAAATAAGATTTAAAAAAAAAATAGCCTTGACATGACATTATAAGACAAAAAATAAAATCTCCAAAGATGTCATTGAGTTCGTTTTCTGATGGCCATCTACTACTGGGCATGTAGCCTACCCTTAAGAGTAGATTTTTTCTAGTGAGACACCTTTAGAGAAAACTCATTTCTTGTTTGCAAGTGGTTATCAATTGGCAATTGCTTCAGGGTGAGGAATCGGGGCATATGTCCACTTCTCATATAAACACTAGTGCCCCATCTGATTCAGTCTCATGCAGGCCCTGTGCATGCTGCCTCAGTCTCTGTGAGTGCATATGTGCATCAATCCTTTTGTTTTAGTGGGCCTATTGCATTGCTGTCCCCCATCTCCTCTGGCTCTAACACTCTTTCTGTTAGGAAGCCATAATACATAACACAAAGGACTTAATGAAGACTCATGCAGGATATGTGTTGCCTCAATCTCTTCTCTTTGAGTTCATAAGTGCTTTCTTAGAGGAATTTGTTTTTTTAGTGTTCTCCATCCCCTCTGACTCTTAAAGCTTCTGATGGTGTCTGGGCAAGGCACTTATCTATGATTATAGCAGAACGTCTTTAGGAGTCATTGTATTGCTGCATTCTTTCAGTAGAAAAGTAGTATTTGATTTTGCCCTAGGTCCCTGGGCTGTCTAGTCTCAGGTTCTTGGTCATGTGAGCAGTGTCCAATATGGGTCCATCTCCTGAAGTGGGCCTTAAGTCAAATCAGATACTGATTGGTTACTCCTACAAGCTCTAGGTCACCATTTTCCTAGCATATTTTGCAGGCAGGATACCACTGTAGATTGAATGGTTTGTAGGTGGATTGGTATTTACCTTTCTCCTTTTGTAACCTTCCCATACCATGATCAATAGTCAGTAGGGGTGAAGGCTTTATGTTGGCACCAGGTCATCTTCTCCATCTTCAGTGAATTATGTACATATTGTCTTTAGTAGTGAGCCCTTGCTGTCAGTTTTTGAAGAGCAACCTATTATCTTGGCAACAGCCTGGGTTGTTTGGGGATTCTCATGGGATTCCCTTCAACCAACAATTCATTTTGATGTAGACCATTCCCAGTATTGGAAACTTCATTTAGTGACAAGAGATATCCAGATGGGGCTCTTTCTCCCTCATTATTTAGCAATTTCCTTTAGATCACCTTCATATATGTATATTGTAATGGTCTGTCCTGTCCCTTTAAGAGACAAGCCCCACCCACTCCCTCCCCAGTCTGCTGAAGCAAGCAGATCTTCTTTCCACTTCCAGCCTGCTAGTCCTTCCTTTCCATCTCTCTCCTGAAGAGGCAGCTCCTGCCTCTCTTTCTTCTTTGCCCTTCTCCACTTCCCCCTTCTCCTCCCTTCTTTTTACCTCTGGTTCTCTTTCTCTCTGCCTCTGTCTGCTCTTCCCCCTTCTCCCCTTTCCCCTTCCCTTCCATAACCCATTAAATAAATATTCAACCTCATTTTACATTGTGTGTGCCTATCCTTCTCTGTCTGTCACCCGCCATGCAGCTCCCTGACTGGGACTCGCTGTCCCTCAGGGAATGGTGCCATTTTTATACTTTTACCATAACATTTGGTGCCATGACTCTGCCAGGCTCTCTCCACATTCCCTCCTGCCCAAGGTGGGCCAGCTGAGGACACATCTCTGTCTCTTACCCGCTGCGTGGCTCCCTGTCAGGGACTGGCTGCCTTCGTGGCCCACCATGGTCTCATGGCCTGCTGCCTGCTGCAGCCACTCAGGGAACAGCACCGTTTTATTTTTACCATAACATTTGGTGAATTTCTCTCTCATGCTGCCTTTCATAGTCTTAAAGAAACTTTTCATTATGCAAAAATATCTGCCACAGCCATTCTGACATAAATATGCTACTGTTTATACAATGTATATGTCTAAAACTTCTATTTTCACAAACCCAAAGAATTCTTGTGAGTTCCAGGGAGCCAAATTGAAGGATCCATCCTAAACAGGTCAGATACACCCCTCTCAAGTCCCTGGTTCTAAATTTTTTTCCCTAAACTTCACTTTGTCCTCTGTTCTGCCAATACCTTTAACAGGTGTAAGAGACACTAGACATTTCCATACCACAAATACTGGACAGGAACAAATAGACCAGCTATGCCAGGATGTGACTAGCACCCAACTTTCTCAGGTTTCACCCAAAGGCGATGCCCACAAATAAGAAGAAAGAAGTCTTGAGAATCTGCTCCCCCAATTTATTTAACCTGCTGTGCCTAAACTCCTGCCTTTTTATTATAAAAAAGAAATGGGAATGTAATGATCTGTCTTGTTCCATTAAGAAACAAGCCCCACCCTTCCCTCTCCCCCATCTGCTGAGGCAGGCAAGTCTTCCTTCTGCTTCCAGTCTGAGTTCTTTCTTTCTGTCTCCCAAAGAGGCAGCTTCTGCCTCTCTCCAGTCTCCCCACTTCTCACCTTCCCCCCTCCTCTCTTTCTCTCTATCTGTTTCTCTTTCTCTATCTCTATCTCTGCCTCTCTCTCTGCTCTTCCCCCCTTTCCCCTTCCCCCCTTTCCCTTTCCCCTCCATAATCCACTAAATAAATACCGACTTTCTCTACATGGTGTGCCTAATAGGTCTCTGTCTCTCAACCACTGTGAAGCTCCCTACCTGGGACTGGCTGCCTTCATGGCCCACCATGGTCTCATGGCTGCCCACTGCCACCATTCAGGGACCTGCAACATTTTATTTTTATTATAACATA